AAAAAGCAAAATAGTTGGATGGAAATGTAGGCCAAGATGTCTTCCAAATTATAAGGCCGGAAACGGAACTCAAATATATGTCCAAAGAACTAATTTAATAATAAATAGACACACACATCGGAAAATTAAAAACTCGGATTTTTCGGCGCCGACGCCCATTTCCGATACAAAAAAAGTAGTAGTCTCCCTTGTTTTATCGAAGTATCTACCTAATTCTAATAACGAATGAATGGCACCAATTCTCTGCATTAGTGAAGTGCCATTAGTAATTAGTATTAGCCTTGAGACATAATAAATGAGAATAATAATAATGGTAATAAGGGGGAGAGACTGCAATCAAGTTAGCAAAAATGGAAATCACTTTCACTTATTAATGAGAAACAAATTAACAAAGAATGGGAAACATTGAAAAAATTAACGCAACAAAACAACGGTAGGAAGTCTTCATCAGCTCAAAATTATTTTGCTGCCCTCTTGGATACTACTTGTGTAGTCTATTTTCGAACTATAGTTCATCATAAAAGCATGACTTTTAGAATAGGGATATGTGTTGATTATACATTTTATGATGACATGACATGACATCATGCTTTTTTCTATTTTAGGTTTAAAAAGGGTCTCCTCTGGGGTTCTATTCTTTAAGGTGCATTTTAGTAGGTAGTTCGGTAAGATCTGGGAAGTGCTGAAAACCGGGTATCGGGATTTCGTTGTCAAAATGGCGACCTCCACTTTTTAATTTACAGAGTCACGTTGTTTACGACTTTTTAACTATATATAGCCCAGCATGTTAATTCTATTTCCGCCCACAACTTAGAGTAGACATGTTGTGTTATGATTAGACACTTGAGTCCCCCAAAAAATTTTGGGGCTTCACTTTGAAAATTGAAGGTAAAATAATGCAATTTTCACTCATTCGTATTTTTTTGGTGGAAAGGAACCTTTCTTTGAATTTCAGGGACTTTATAAATAATGGCATTAACTACAATATATCCAAGACATGCTAATTTAGGCCCATCCGGTTGGTCAAAAATTCATCAAGAAATTTTAATCACGTGTGTCCCAAAATTACCTATTATCGTTAGTATTCGTTGCTATGTTAAATAACCTGATTTACTCTGGAAATCCAGCCTATTACCCCCTAATAACTCATTTAAAAATAAAAATAAAATAAATAAAGCAAATACAAATTTTTAATATGATTTGATGCTTTTAATGAGGGATATTAGGTTAAAAAAGCCTAATAATTAATTACAATTAATAGTTAACTATTAGTTTTATATTTTATATACTGTTATATGTAGGGGTGTGCCGGACCCCGGTCCGGAATCCGGTTCCGCCGGATTTTGCACTATCCGGTGAAATCCGGTTCCGCCGGATTTACATGTATCCGGAACAACCGGATTCCGGAATCCGGAATATACCGGATTTCGGAATTTGCCAGATTTTGTGACTCACCGGATCATAATCTGAAATAAAAGTAATTCTCTTTCCCGAATTTCACACGATCACGATACATTAATCGATTGTTTCGAGCGTTGAGCTTGTTTAATGTTTAATATTCCGTACATACCAGAGGCTAGAGTCAGCACCGCTAATAGTGGCCAATAGTGTAGGGACTTTGATAAGAAAAT